CCCCAAAACCCCAAAACCCCAAAACCCCAAAACCCCAAAACCCCACCAGAAAGAAACCTAATTGAATATACATCGTTCCAAAACCTACTACATAAGCAGCTTAGAACAGATATTCACTACTTGGAGGGGTCTTGGATTCAGGAAGAAGAAGGAGAAGTGGTAGGAGGAGGAATAAGGGGTGGGGAGGAAGGGATGGAGGAAGGGTGAGAGGAAGGGTGAGAGGAAGGGTGAGAGGAAGGGTGAGAGGAAGGGTGAGAGGAAGGGTGAGAGGAAGGATGGGGAGAGGGGAAAAGGGGGTTTAAGGGATGGAGCAGGGGTTTGAAGGACTGATAGGGGTAAATACCCTTTAGGAAGAAGGTCTGGGGAGGAGATTAGGGTGAGTGGGTTGAGGGTGTGAAGAGTGTGTGGTTTTGGTAAAGTTTTTGAATTATAAGGAAATCCTTAATTATCTTCGATTAGTAAGTCTTGAGCGAGTCAGTATAACTGGTACAGACTCTAATTCCTTCTGTGAGATTTTATAAACCTTGACTCTATCAGCCTTGCTATAAACCAAGCTCGTCTTCTTGCCAAGGGGGTATCTAAAGCATTTAAGCCTTCTATCATACCTTCATTTCTTCAATAATCTCTGGTGTCTTCTTTGCTTGCTTCCTGTGCCCATATTATTCTTACTGAAGCCTGGCGGGAGTGCACTATCTCTGCTATTATTTAGCTGAGAGTCTTTGGTCATTTTTAGTGATCTAAACGATAAAGCTCTTAGACTTACTTTACAATGGATACCTGACTCAAATTCTGGTCTTGACTTTTTCTCACTTTCTTCATTTTTGAAGATATTTTACTGTTGCAATAATACATCCTCCCCACTCCATATGCATAATTCTTGGCAATTGGTCTACTTTCTGCTGTGGTATCAGAGCCCTTAGATCCATCTGCTTCACAACTAAGGTCTAGTCTTTTCCTTAGCACAGCTTTCTCTCTGCAAATAATCAGGCTTCTGTTCATGAATCCAGGTAACTTGCTTGCTGACTTGTTCATATCATCATTGTTAACAACATCCACTGACTCTCACCTAGCAAGAGGCTGCTGGCAGAAACTATTATTTTTCCTTGAATTTAGAAATCTTAGAGGTAACGTTGTACTTCTGGATATACTTGTTAGCACATTCTTGCTCTCTAGAGATAGATCTGTTAGGGCAGTTTGAATCCTCGAAGGTGCTTGATCTTCCAGTGTTGGAAACAGACTTATTCTTCTTATGACTAGAATCCACTGATGGAAGCTTTATCTCAGCTGTAAGATTCATGTTGGTTTTGATAGCTTTAGGAATATGTATGGGCTTTTCTTCTGGCTTTTTGTACCCAGAAAGATATTCAATACATCTTTTGATATCTCTTACAGAAGAGCCAAAAGAGTTTATCAAGGTTTTTGCAATATGAGAGTCTTGAAGATCCTTGAAATAAAGATAGCAGGCGCATTCTATAGTAGAGTATTTGATATTTCTTAACTCAGTGCTCATTAGGACTATAGGAATATTAGATCAGTAAATTCAAAAACCAGAACTTTCCAAAAATTAAAAATAAATGAGTCTTACTGATAGTATCATTATGCCCATAAATATCCTTGCTACAATACTCTAACTCATGTGCTTCGTCCACTACACTGTCTCTGTAATGAGCTGGAGTGATAAAGTTCAATTCCCAGTTTAGGATACTTCAGAGCTTCTTCTCGTACTTCTTCATTACCATGAGTTTGAACTTCTTATTCACTTCTAAAACCTTGATAAGAATGAGCCAATAAAAGAATGTATGATTCTGTAAGAAATTATGAAGGATTTTAATGATCAGGGATACATAAGGGACATTACTTCTTAAATCTGAGATTCTGACAACATTCATATCTGGCTCGGCAAATTTAGATGCTACGAGGAGGCAAGTTGCAGCCCAAAGATCACTCTCATGCTTGATATGCATGATAGGAAGCTTGCCAATCAGCTTATCGAAATATATAATTGCTGTTTGAATAGTTATGCAACTTTGCTTGAACTTCTGACCAAAGTGGTAGATCCACTTCAAAACTTGCCTTCTGGAGGTAGACTTAGGCTCATTAGTCTGAAAATCTGCCGAGAGGTCTACATTTTGGTACTTCTCGTCTTCTAGCAGGACCTTCTTATACAGCTTCTCATCATTCTTCTCATCTGAGTATACATTCATCTGAGTTACGAAATGTCTGGCTGGAGCCTTCAAATTTTTGTTACAAATTTGGGACTTAGAATGAGGCGATATCGACTCTCTAGGCCACTGTGCCTTAGTTATTTTATGGGAGGGTAACTTGTTCATATAAATACTATGATTCCTTCTAACTTTGATTATACTCATTATTTTTTAATTGTATATCTTCTTTTCAATTTATATTCTCTCACTGGGGTTTTGGGGTTTTGGGGTTTTGGGGTTTTGGGG